TCTCAATTTTGGCACCTTCTAAGATGATGGTGGACTTCAACTCCCAGAATTCCCCAGCCAGCACAATATAGACGTGCAAGAAAAGTGGGGCCAAGCTCACTTAACAAATGTCTCATTTAGCCCCATAAATTTTGGGTTCAATTGTGGTCATAAATCAAGGACTACCTGCAGATTTCTGCCTCTAAAAGGAAATCAGGTGTAAATTTAGACTGATCACGTTTTGACTTCCAAGCGTTTTGTTGGCTCATGTCAGTCAGGATTCAAAGTTCAGCTGGAAACCATCGGAAAGAAATCCTATCCTCAAACAATGAACAGCCAAGCTAGCCTGACCAAGTGTTAAGATAGACAAACAGGTCTTATAAATAGAACCTCGAGGGAGATGCACAATATTAGCAATAGATTTATATACCGCTTCACTGGGCTTTCCAGCCCTTTCTAAGCAATTTACAGAGTCAGCCTCTTGCACCCCAACAATCTGGGTCCTCATTTTACCAACCTCGGAAGGATGGAAGGCTGAGTCAACCTTGAGCTGGTCAGGATCGAACTGCTGGCAGTCGGCAGAGTTAGCAAACAACACTGCATTCTAACCACTGCGCACCATGGAAGGGAGCGAGGAAGGAAGGAAGGAAGGAAGGAAGGANCTAAAAAGATTAGATTAGATTTAATGAATTTATAGGCCGCCCAATCCTGAAGGACTCGGGTGGCTTACAACAAATACATTTAAGATGCTAAGATGTCTAATTTATTAAATTGGAACTTTAAGGATCATTTTGCCTTGGACTCTGATTTAATTCTACATGATACTTGGAACGCTGACAGAGGGAGGAAGATTATGAAAGTGAGGGAGGGTCTGAGGGAAGTCCAGCCTTAGCACCTGGCCACCACAGATGCCCCCAACACGTGACATTGATCTGGCCATGTCCCCCCGACCCCCAAGGTCACATCCCTGATGCGTCCGTCAATGCAATCAAGTTTGACACCCCTGATCTAGAATGGATAAAGGCACTTCAAATATTTGTCGGGAATATGAACAACACAGAGGGACATGCTTGATGGACACGTAAAAAACCTTAAAGAATGATTCAAAGAGAAGATAACACAGGTAGTCCTCATCTTACAACAGTTCATTTATTGACCATCTGAAGTTACAACACTACTGAAAAAAAGGGACATGACCATTCCTCACACTTACGACCTTCGCAGCCTCCCCATAGCCACGTGAACAAAACTCAGAGGCTAGGCAATTGACTCGTATTTATGACGGTTGCAGTGTCCCAGGGTCAGGTGGTCCCCTTTTGCGACCTTCTGATAAGCAAAGGCAAGGGGGAAGCCACTTAACATCCACTTTAGAAAGAAATGCAGTGATTCGTTTAACAACGGAGGCAAGAAAGTTCATGAAATGGGGCAAGACTCGCTTAACAACCGTCTCGCTTGGCCACAGAAATTTGGGGCACAACTGTTGTCGTAAGAGAAGAATTAACGGCATTCAACTGAAACTTTTCCTTTTAGGACTGATGGGTGCAGAGTTAGGAGAAAAAAAATCATGGAAATTTATTTCGGTATATATGATTACTGCAACAAGATTTATGCACAAAGATGGAAAGATTCTGCGCTAGCCCTGTGCAGGAATGGGTGATTAAATTGACAGAACTTGCTAAGAGGAACAAACCAACTTTTTAAAATCTTCAAAAACAACAACCAAAACAAACCCCTTTGCCGTCCCAGATATTCCCAAGCTCCCTTGGGAAAAAAAAGTCTTTATTAAACTCTTTCTCATTCTTGGCAACTGTACAATGTCTGGACTTCAACTCCCAGCATTCCCCAGGCGGCAGAGAATTCTGGGAGTTGAAGTCCAAACATCTCAAAGTATCTTGTTGTGGCCCGCCAGCAGCCAGGGGAGCTGGCAGCAGATTCGGACAGTGCGGAGGTTGGGGAGGAACATGGGCCAATCCTGGAGTCTGGGGAAGGCTGGGATGAAGGCTCTGCATTGAAAACAGAGAGTGGGTCAGGGCCGTCTGACAGTTCTCAGCTGCCTTCGGAGTCGGATATCAGTGAGGCAGAAGAACAGTTGGAGCCTGTTCCCAGGGTGCGCATGCGCAGAGTTGCCAGACGAAGGGAAAAACTAAGGAACAAGGGTCGACTTTGGAGTAAAGCCAGAGGTGGACGGTGAATGGCCCCGCCCATAAGGAATAAAAGAGGAACGAAAGGGGAATGGAGTTTGCAGGAGGCCATTAGTCCATTCCTGCATTCTTGCCAAGTAAGAGCCGAGGTGGCGCAGTGGTTAAATGCAGCACTGCAGGCTACTTCAGCTGACTGCAGTCCTGCAGTTCGGCTGTTCAAATCTCACCGGCTCA